TATTACTAATATTATTAATTATTTAATAATATTTAATCTTAATATAGTATAGTTTAAGTAACTATTTACTTAATAAATAATTATTAAGAGTATTTATAGAATCTATATATACTTAGAGAAGTAATTAAATAGAAATATTTATCTTTTTTAAGAGATCTATAATATATAGTAGAGCTTTTCCTCTAAGTATTAGATTTATCTATTTAGTTTTATAAGTTAATATAGTTATAAATAATTATAATATTAATTTCTAAATAATTAGTACTCCTCTATATATAACTATATAGCTAGTTATTAACTTACTTATTCTTTTATAATTAGATTAATTAGTATTATAGAATACTAATACTTTAAGGTTATTAATAGAATAACTTAGATTACTAAAGTAGAGTATTAATTATTATAAACTATAAAGATATCTCTATATTAATCTTAGTAATTTATTATACTTTTTAAAAGTATATTATTAATCTCTAGTAGCTCTACTTATAGGTATTATAATATCTAGTTATATACTATTTATAATCTACTATAATTTACTTAGATTACTTTAATATTTATATATCTTAATAAGTATTTTATATTATTCTATAATCTCTAGTAACTAAGTATTACTAGAAGGGTAAAGAACTTAGTTATATCTAGTAATACCCTTCTCTATTAGTATATTATTAATATATTTAGTTTATAAGATCTANAGTTATTTTATCTTTTAGTAGTAAATAATTTTAAACCTAAGAAACTATTATACTTTACTTATATTTTTAATCTAAAAGAAGTTATATAAGTTATTTTTAAAGTTATTAACTTACTTAATATTAGGTATAGTNTAATAAATATATTATTAATATAAAGTAATATTATAATATTATTCTTATTAATAAGAATATAAGGTTCTTTTAAGAATAGATTAAACCTTTATTACTTAAGAATAGTAATAATTTATTTATATTAGAGAAGAGAAGATTCTCTTAGTTTATAGAGAACTTTTTTTAATTTATAAAACTAGCTAGATCTATTATTAAACCTATAAGGTTAAGTAATAAAGATATTATAATCTCCTATAAGAGTATTTAAAAAGGTTATAATTATATTAACTTAGTAAAGTTTTAAATCTTTAAGTATTATAATTAATAAAAAAACTTATAGAGTAATAAGATTAGTAATAATAGTATAGATTATCTTACTATTTTTATTTTAAAAGTTACTATAAATAACTTATCTTACTCTAACTCTATTAAGTTTTTTATCTATAGTAACTTTTTTATTATATATTTATTTATTTAAGAGATATTTAAAGCTATCTAAAAGCTCTTTAAGTTACTAATATTCTATCTCTTATAAACTATTAATTTAAGTCTTTATAGTATTAAAAATAGCTAACTTTAGAGGTTTTTTTTCTATTACCTCCTACTTCTTAAAAGTTATAAGTAAGTAAATCTCTAAACTAAAAGCTTATAATAAATTAAATACTAAGAAAGTAAAAGTAATTAGTTTTTAGTCTATTTTATTATTAATTAGGTTAATCTCTATAGCTTCTATTTTACTAAATTCCCTATTAAACTTCTTTATATTATATAGTATTTATATTCTAAATATCTAAGTTATTTAAATAGAAGAAGAAATAATTACTCTTAGTAATTTTATAAAGATAAAGCTTTTATTACTATTTCTTAATTTTCCCCTTTATTTTCTTTATATTAAGTAAGTAATTTAAAATAAAATACTAAGAGAGCTTTATTATTATAGAATATCCTCTAGTAGTTATTATTACTAAGGAGTAATAAGAGATATCTACCTTAGAGGAGTAATAAGAGAATATTATTTTAGAGAAATATATTAATTATTTTACTATAAGGGAGAAACTTCTTTTAGTATTAATTATACCTATATATTTATAGTATTAGTATTTAATATTAGTATATATAGTTCTAAATCTAAAGTTAGTAAACTACCCCTCTTATTACTAATTTCTTCTTAAGGAGGCTTATCTTTTTATTCTTATTTATTATTACCTTCTAATTCTTAAGCTTCTTTTAAGTATAAATTACTTATTTTATCCTCTTATTATTCTTATTTAGTAGGGCTAATATATAGTTTATAATATCTATAAAGCTAAATCTTAATCTTATAAGTTATAATTAATAGTTAGTTCCTATATTTATAATATAAAGGACTGGATACCTAGCTAGAGGGCTTAGGGATAGCTTAGCTAGTAGAGGCTAAATAGATAGGAAGGTCTATAGGTCTAAGGTATAGAACCCTCTATAGCGAGGACTTAGTAAGTACTTACTAAAGACTAAAAAAGAAAGAACTTAGAAGAAGTAAGTAAAAGTAGTATAGTAATACTATACTTACTTTTTAGGTACTTCTTCTATTAGTTTAATCTAATTATAGTTTATAACCTCTAAATACCTTTATAATTCTTTTATTTCTATTCTATTTTAAAAAGGTTAGTAATAATAATAGTACTATATACCTAAGTAATACCTACTAATTAAGTTAAAGAAGTTATACTTAGTATTTACTAAGTATTAAGTAAAATAACCTATATAAGCTTATATAGGGAAGATAACCTTAGTAAATAATTAGAGAATAATATAAATTAATAAGGGGAAGTAAGAAACTATACTTTAAATAAAACTAAAAGTTCTAAAGAGGATAAGCTACTTATACTAAATACTTATTAACTAAGTAGTAAGTATATATAGGAGAATAGGGAATATAAAACCCCTCCCTATAGATTAGATAGGCTATAAAGCTAGATATCTATAACTATAGCTAATAGGCTAATTTAAACTAGAAAGCTAGATAAAGTAACTAGCTAAGTACTAATATAATAGATTATAACTATAATAGCTAACTAGAATAAACTAATTACTACTATATTAAGTAACTAAACGCCTATTAAATAATTACCTAAAGTTTATAAGAAACCTCTAAACTATAATATAGTTTATTTTACTAGTAAATCTATTAATATAGAAAGGGAAGATTAATTTATTATAGTAGAGGAGACTTATAAGTACTACTTTAGCTACTCTAATAGCTAGTATATCTAATAAGCCTTAAATATAATAGAGTATACTTTATAAATAGAATAGTAAACTTATTAGTAAATACTTATAGATATATTAGGGAAATAAGTTAACTTTATATAAGATAACTTTAAGATTTTTATAAGAAAGTAGTATATAGCACTTAAGTTCTAAGAATAGAATTACTATAATACCTTAAGATAGTATTATTAGAAAGATAATAAAAAACCTATTATATACTAAGCTTATTAGGAGTCTATTAATTAAGCTTTTAGTAAACTAAATATAAGTAATATAAAGGCTTATATATTCTTTTAAAGCTTTACTAAAACCTTAAAGGATAAACTTTTTAAATAAGATATTAATTATATTAATATATATATAATTACCCTATATATATAGAGACTATAAGAGATTATAGAAGGGAAGTATATAGGAAAGTTTATTAGTTACTTTAAATTATATAAGTAACTATATTTAGGTTTCTTAAACTACCTTTATAAGAGTAGTTTATAACCCCCTTAATTAATAAATCTAAAGTAGTACTATCTAG